GGAGAGCACATGGTGAAGCTTCAAACCCCAGGGGGCAGAGCTGCTCGCATGGAGACTATGAGAGAATTACCAGCCACCTACTTTGTGACAGACAAGCTCTAAAATGACCAACGTGTTACCCACCTCTTGTTGTTCATATCTTTGTGCCATCCCCTCTGCTCGGGCTAGATGGGACCTGTGACTTGCTTCTCACCCAAAGCGTACAGCAAAAGTAAGATGACGGGATGTCACTTTTGAAATTAGTTTACAAAGATTTATTTTTCTTGCCGGTAGACTCTATTTCCTTCTTGGCTTGCATGCTTGATGAAATGAGTTGCCATACTGGAGCATTTCATTCCATGAGAGAATGAGGGCACCCCCTGACCAGCAGCCATCTAGCTCTGAAACCTTTAGTCCAACAGCCCTCAAGAAACTAAATTCTTCCAAAGACCTTCCCCAGTCAAACCTTCAAATGAGACTCCAGCTGACACCTTGGCTGCAGCTTTGTTAGAGACCCTGCAGCAGAGGTTCCGGACAAGGTTTGCTTGTCTCCTGACCTACAGAACCTGGGAGATGATAAATGTGTATTGTTTTAAGCTTCCAGATTTGTGGTGATATGTTATGCAGCACTCGGGCTTTCCAAGTGACCCAACAGTGGGGAATCGTTTTGATCCCTAGGTCAGGAAATTTTCCTGGAGGAGGAAATGGCAAACCACTCCAGTATTCTTGCCTGGAAACTTCCATAGACAGAGAAGCCTGTTGGGCTGCAGTCCTTGTGCTCATGAAGAGCATTACATGGCTGAGCATGCATGCACACACGCACTAGATAACTTACTAGTTATCTGCATTTACGTCCCCTGCTTTGGGGACAGCAGGTCATTTATAAACACATTCACCAAGCCGCAATTCAGGCCATAGCCTGTTGTTGGGTCCCTGGCTGTTGTGTTGTTGGGTCCCTGGCTGTTGGCTGAATGGTGCTCAGAAGGTAATAGAGACAAGAGAAATTGCAAGTGGCTGAGCTCTTCTCCCTTGCCTAAAGCCACAGCTGTCTTCCTACCAGTGGCTGATACCTCCTTACATGAGCAGTTGCCTATATCTCTCAAGCCTGGAGAGAGGCCAGGGATTCCAACCCCACTTCTGACCTTGGCCAGATGCCCAGCATTGAGTGGGCCCAAGTGTATTCTAAATTCCTTCAAATACCTAAGCACTAGTTTGTTCAGGACTTGAGCCAGGCCTGGTGACATGGAGGGAGTGAAATCTAGCCTCTCAGCTAGAGGCTCTCAGCTGGCCGAGGCAAACTCACAGCGGGGGAGCATCAGGCACAAAGCCAAGGTGTGGCCTTGCTCCTGCCTTGGACCCCACCTAGGTGACTCAGCGCTGGATGCTATCTCAAAGAGAGAAAACGAGGGAACAGAGCCAGCCTGGACTGTAAATGAAGCAGTGATGCAGTCTGGGGAAACCAGAGGCTCCTTATATCAAAAATCTCTACAGACCAAATGCCAACATTAGCCTGATAGCTCATCATTCTCCAGGTTAAGCAATGGCCCAAGTCCTTTTTTAAGGTGTAAATACCCAGGAGAGCAAATCTCCTACATCCTCATCACATTTGTTTAAATGTGTTCATCAGGCTAATATATCTCTGACATAAGGGCTCAGGGTTTAGGAATCTCTGAACCTTGTTCATATCCCCTCCTTATTCCCTCATTCTCCCTTTAAAATACCTAGTTATCTCTATGCAAATTGAACTTGAGTTCAAACAATGTTGGACTTTTCCCCTATTGCAATAGTATATTACTGATTAAAATCTATCCTTACCAATTTACCTGGTGTCCAGCTGTATCAGCCTTTGACAGTGAAAAATGATGAAATTAAACATGTTTTGGTTTTTTTCCAATTTTGTTCTTCCCCATAATTTTCTCTACTTTGACTCAGAGCTGCTTTTGTAACTGGGAAAAAAAAGTTCTATTTAAAGCATCACTTTTGATTGACTGGAGACATTCCAAGATCAGAGCTTGGGAATGGTTGTTTTTAAAATCTCCCTCCTTAAAAAAATAAAAATAAAAAATAAAATCTCCCTCCTTGTCTTTACCTTGGGGGTAAAGGGGTCTCCACAGAAATTCTACAGAGAGGCTCCCTGCCCTTACATTACATTGCCATTGTTGCCCTCCACATGCTACACAAACACAATTCCCCAGTACTAGGTTTGAAGCCATAACCAGGGCAAATATGTTGCTGTCATGTCACAGTTTACAGCCCTTATCATTTGTAACTATGCCTTAAGAACTGAAAATTCTGGTCTGCTCATAGCCTATATGAAAGTTCAAGAAAGTCTCACCATTTTGAGAGCTGTGAAATGGTACCTTCACAAGTGCAACGAACTCTTGCTAAAGCACATGTTAACCAGTGGACAACCCTTCCTCTCAGGGGCCAAGAACTTCAGGCAGCAATGCCTCCTTAGCACAACACTCAGGCCAGCACAGGCATTCAGCCTAGAATTCTTTTTTTTCCCCCAAGTTGTCATTCACTTTTATTACTCTAGACTTCAGATTATATTTAATGGCTAGATCCCTGTCACTTCTAGCTGCGATAGAGTGGGAATTACAAGTTTTTCAGCTGTCTGGACAGCTAGTAAGGTTGGGAAGAAGGGCAGATGAATATTAAATGGGCAGGAAGTACCTTCTGTTACATTCACTTCCTAGAAAGTTGAACATGTGTAATTGATCTTTAGATTTTCCCTGGTGGCTCAGTGATAAAGAATCCTCCAGCAATGCAGGAGACATGGGTTCAATCCCTGAGTCCTAGGGAAGATTCCCTGGAGAAGGGAAAGGCAACCCCCTCCAGCATAGCCTGAAAAATGCCATGGACAGAGGAGCCAGGCAGGCCACAGCCCATGGGGTCGCAAGAGAGTCGCCCATGACTTCGCAACCAAAGAGCAGCAACACATTGGTCTCCAAACCCAGCTAACATTGGATTGGATCCTTAAGTTAATGCTGGTTGCCTTTGACAGTGGCAGTGGACACTGATAAGGGAGGAAAAACAGGAGGAAGAATGATAGCTCAGTTGTTCAAAATGGAATTGCAGTTTCAGCCTAGTGTTCTTATGAGGACAAAACAGGGCCTTTTCTGAACTCCAAGAGGACTGAATTATAACTCAGAAATTGCTCAAAGTATTCAAATATAACTGAGCAACTGAGCACACACACATTCTGTGGTTAACAGTCCCAGTATTTTGACTGAAGATTTCTAAACCTCCAGGCCAAAGACCCCATGGACCAATTACCCTACCCATTGCTACTTGCCAGCATCACCTCTGGTAAAATGACTCTAACATTGGAATGGATAATATTCAGCATAAATACAATGAAATTCTTGTTTGCCTTCAAAGCATCTTATCAAAGTTCATACCTTTCAAACTCACACCACAGACTCAATTCTACTGACAATGAAGGGAACACAAAGAACAGCCACTGGGCCTGACGAGCTAGCCAGTGTCACACAAATGCGTGGCCCACGGTTCAAAGCCAGCTTGCAGTGACACCAGATTGTTTTAAAAGCTGAGTTTCTCACTTCACACCTACTGGCTATTATGAAAAAGACAGAAACAGCAAATGTTGGAGAGGATGTAAAGAAAAGAGAACTCTGTTACACTGTTGGAGGGACTGTGTGCGGCCACTGTGGTAAAACTGTATGGAGGTTCTTCAAGAAATTAAGAATGGAACTACCAGCCAGCCCATTTCTGAATATTTATCTGAACATAAAAACACTAATTCAACAAGATATATATACCCCTATATTCATTCAGCACTCTTTACCGTAGCCAAGATATAGAAATAAGCTAAATGTCCCTCAATGGAAGAATGCATTAAAAATATATATATTTTCAATGGGATACTACTCAGTCATAAAAGTGTGAAATCCTGCCATTTGCAATAACATAGAAGGATCTTTAAGCCATTATGCTTAATGAAATAAGTCAGACAGAGAAAGACAAATATCATATGATCTCACTCATAAGTGGAATCTAAAAAGAAGCAAAATGAACAAACAAAATAGAAACAAACTCATAGATATAAAAATAGATTCGTGGTTACCAAGAGGGGAAAGGGGCTGGAAGGTAAATGAAATGGGAGAAGGAGGTCAGCTGTATGGTGGCACATGGTAACTAGATTTGTGGTGGTAATCACATTGCAGTGTATACAGATTATAATTATAATGCTGTATACCCGAAACATATAATAAAAAAGTAGCTTGAGTTTTTAATCTTGAGTTTTTGAAAGCAGCTCTTCTGCCCCTTTCCTGTTTGCCCATTTCTGTTCCCCTTCAACCTTGAAAGAACCTAATTATAGGAATAAGATCACTAAGCAATTTTAACTAGCTCCTGATTTATGCTCTCTTAAATGTATACCATGCCTTGCTTAATCTACTGATTCTTTTCCTAGATTAAAATAAATAATAATGAAGAATTAAGTAGTTAAAGAATGACTATCTCCCCACCCTCAACAGTCCCATTAGCAATCCTGCAGGCAGATCACACAGTGGGTAAGATAACATCTGAAGAGTCAGACAGCCTGCATGCAATGGAGAATGCGGCAGAAAGCATGACCATATAGTTGACCCCCTTCTGCCTTTGCAATTCACTGAGATTCTTTCCCTCTTTTTGCCCGCAAAAATTGTCATGGGTGAGTGGAATCTCAGTTGGTCTTGGGACACGAATCCACCTTCTTGCCAGATTGCCATCTTTCTTGATTAAAGCATTTTTCCTTTCTTCTGATACTTTCATCTCAATTTTTGACTTTTAAATGGCAAGCAGCCAAATCTAAGCTGGGTAACATTTTTACCAACATTTTTTAAGCTTAGAGATTCCACAGAAAAATTATCAGTTCTCTTGAAAAAATTCAGAGGGTTTCATATAGGGTCCTTTAGTATCTGCTGTCTCTTTTAAACCGTTTGTACTCTGTGATGTATTTCTGCCTGCTCTGGCCTCTTTTAGTCCTGAATAACACCTGTCTGGCTGTGGGAAGCATGGTTGTACCCCTCCCCACTCCTACACAAAGACAAATGTGGAGCAGGAAGAAAAGACGCTTCTTTTCAGACGGTTTAGGCTGCGGCACCAGCGTGAGGGACGCTGCTCGGCGAGGCCGGGACCCAGCACCCGGAACTGCAGTGGCAGCCTGCAGACGGGACTCCAGTCGGAGTCCTCGTGGCCGCTCCGGCCCTGCCCGGAGCTCACGCCTCTTCCTGGGGAGGCACAGAATGAGAAGCACCAGGCAGCCAGCTCGGGCCGCAGTTCAACCAGAGGCCGACCGTGTCCGGTTCCCAGAGCCGTCACAATCTGCAGGGGCGGTGCCCGTCCACAGAGGAGTGCGGTCATGCCAGGCTGGTCCCGAGGCCCTCCAGCCCTCCTGGTGGAGTGGGGCCATGCGCCGGGGAGGGAGGCTGCAGGGCAGGATGCGTGGCGTCCACACCAGCTTGGGAACATCCTTGGGGAACCGCATCGTGCCTCAACTTGAACACATTCATTCTCACTGCAAACAAGCAGAGAACTGTCTTCTTGAGGCTGTCCCAAAGCTGTCGCCTGTCCCCCCTGGGATCCAGGGGGCTCGCGGCTCTGCCCTTTCTTCCTTCTTGTTGAGGCAAAGCCTCTATTAAACAGGGGAGCAGAGGGTGTTCTAGATTCCATCTATAAACCTTAGGATAAAATTGGGCTTGTGACAGGATTCATCCCGTGCATCCTTTGCCAGCCCTTCCCACCCACCACGCGGTGCACCGTTGACTGCCAGGCCTGTCCCTCGAGTCCCTGCTCACCCGGGTGGAGGATGCATTTACCAGGCAGCCCTAAGAGACGAGGCACCGCCCCGCAGAAGCACTGTGCCTGCCTGCATGAGGAAGGCCTGGAGCTACAGAGCAGCTCAGAAATTCTCCCCAGACCCTTCCGCGGCGCTGCGACTTCAGGCTCCAGTAGAGCACTTTTTCTGAATGCTCCGTTTCATGACCACTAGTGTGCAGGTTGTTGTAGTGCCTGCTGACGGGCTGCTGCAGTTTCCAGCTCTGGGAATGCACGGCTCCTGTTGCGTCCCGACGCAGGCAGGGCCGCAGGAAGTCTCCGTCTCGGACGCCTGGTGTGAGCGAGCCCCCGCCGAGGCCATGGGCCCAACCTGCTTAGATGGTGTCTTCTGGCCTTCGCCCCAGGAGCCATCCTCCAGCTGCCCTAACCAGCAGTGAGAGGCTACTCTCCATCTTTTCCAAGAGCAGGACTGTTTTAGTGGGGCAGAGAGTGGAGAGATTTACAAAAACAACTTTAGAGGTGGTAACAACTGACCTTGTTACCACAAAGCGGAATGGGCCATTTTCTGTGCAATAAAAGTCACTAAAAGAAAAAAAAGATGCTTCTTCTCTTTGTTTTTCTCCCCTGGAGTCTTAGCTACTTGGTGGAAGTTTCAGGACAGGCTCTGAAAGCATGGTGTTTGCTTCCGTTAGCTGAGCAGTTAGGTAGAAGAAGGAACATGCCGGCAACTCAGTGTGCTGTCACCAGGAAAATCCCCTCCACTATTCCCGGCCTCAGATCACCACACTGGGGTGTAAATGGAGGAAAGTGTCAGGAGCAAGGAAGGTAAGGAGAGCCTAGTCTGTAATGATTACTTCTTATTCAAAGAGTCAAGAATTTAAATTTGAGTGCAAATGGTATTCAAATGAAATGACTCTTAAAGCGATTTAACACATTGCCCGACTATTAGGTCAGAATCTGTTGCTTAATACAGCCTGGCCAGAGTAACTGGAACTATTTGGATCTTTTGGGAGTGGATGGTGACACACCATTGAAGCCTCTGGAGTTAACAGAGTGAGTGTCGTGTTTGGGGTACAGGCTAGTTCTGAGGTAATAGACAGGTTCATCTGTCAGGCCTTCGTTTGCAGGAGAGAAACCTGCCTCTCTTGCCCCATGAGAGAGAACATTGCCAGTCTCACCTAAGAAGACAGAATTGCTGGTGTCCCTTAATTGATTACCACCCCTAATAAGTCATCTCAAGCCAAGAACATGCTGTGTGAAGGACAGGTTTGAAACATAGCAGTGAAGTCACTGATGTGTTTATGTTCTCAACCTCCCTTCTGGGTCCCAACAACCACCAGTGTCCCAGCCTCATGGGGCCTGGCTCTCATCCACTTGTTAGCTAATCAGAGCTAACACAATGTGATACATGAAAAGAAAGGAGAAAGTCAAAATTCTGGAGATAAGTGGAGACCCAGACTTCTAAATGAAATGCCAATTTGTAATGCAACTAGTTAGAAGGTAGGAGAAAGATGGGACAGTTCTCCTTCTAACAAACATCTTTCAAGACACCCTCCCAAATATTTCTAAGAAAATCTGGTGAATGAAATGTTCCCTCCTCAAGGGTGACTTGCTTCTAAATATGTTCTACCCCAACTGTTTGCGGTCTTGAAACTCTAGCACTAGGTCCAGGGCATCCTCATGAGATGAACAATCACTTTTCACTGTGGCAGGGACCTCACGGTCCCTCTTGTGTTACAACAGACCTGTTTCATTCTGTATGCTTTTTTTTAAAGCCCACCTGCCCTTGGCTTCTGTCAATGTTTGAGTTTGTAACTCTGAACTTGTCCTTGGATAACTAAGTGTGTTCACCCATGAGTGGTGTGAAGCCGGCCCTGAAAGACATTCTGAAGGACAACAGCTCTGTCATTGGGTAGACCTGTTTCACAGATGGTTTATCGGTTCCGAGGCAACCCCCCCCCCAACCCGCTCTGTGTTTCATCCCATCCTGGGTGTTGTTCCTGCTCGTTCTCTGAAGCAGGCCTTTGGCCCTCTGAATCCTGATCTCCAATCACTGTATTGAGAATGCATTTCTCTCCATTGGAGAATTCTTGATTCACATGAACCACTGATTTCAGAAGGAAGACAAATACTTCTCTTAAAGGGGGTTTGGAATCAGGTAGGCAGGTCTCTCCTAATTTTCTAGGCCCATCTCTTACCATTAGTGGAGATGATTTTCAAATTGCTTTTACCCCAAGAGTGGGGATTTGGGACTGCAGGAATCCCTTCAGACAAGACAATGGAGGACAAGTTAGAGACCTCACAAAGAGAGTTTCATTGGCCTCACAGGACTTTGAAGAGTCATCTAGCTTGGGTTGCTTATGAGTCTACCCCCTGATGAAAGATAAGGATAATAACAATATCTACTTTAGAATGTCATCGTGAGCATCAGGTGGGGTCTCAGCTGTAAAACTCCTGTGTGCATGCTCAGTTGTCCAGTCATGCTTTGTGACCCCATGGACCCCATCCTGCGAGCTCCTCTGTCTGTGAGATTTTCCAGGAAGAATACTGGAGAGGGTTGCCATTCCCTTAGTGCTTAACAAAGAGCATCTGTGTCTGTTGTTGTTGAGGTTATTTTTATGTCATTTAAGGTTCTTTAATTGCAAGCAACAAATGCAACCCTGGCTAACTTAAAAACTGAAATTTCATGGGAAGAGCTCCCCAAATAAAAGGGCCATCCAGATAAACAGGCACAAAGGAAACAGAAATGGTGGCCGCTCCAGAGACCCAGGCAGTCAGAGCTAATTGGCAGCTTGCAAGTCTAACTACTCATCCAACCTTGACTCATTCCACTAGAGAATCAAAGAGAAGCCAGGCAGGAGAACTTTGGTCACGTGGGGTGAGGTGGCAAGATGCTCTGACTGATAACCCCAGAGACTTAACACAATGGAACAGAGGTAATTTCCCAAAGGACAAAAGTAGTATTTTTAGCCAGGAGAAAGGGTGTGGATACCATACAGAAATCAACAAATATCTGATACAAACCATACTTGACCTTCATAGAGCTTCATTGTCTTTCACTCTTCCTATAACCAGATGATGTAGGCAGGGATCCCAGGGCCGTGATCATCAGCTTCCATTCCTTGAAAGGCACTGCTCTGTGGCTCTTGCCCAGTGCTCTGTGGTTCTCCATCACCTTAGACCCAGAATCTGCTCAGCTTGATTAAGCAGATCAGGTCACCCAGTTCTCTGTGGCAGGGAGGTCACAGTCACTAGGGGCACCCACACTGGGCCCAGATGAGAGCACGTAGCAACTTAACATCTGTTTGGCTTTCAAGCTGTTATTAAGGAGTTTCATTTTAAATATTTGAGGTGTGATTCTGCTTCCTCATGAATATGTTGATGAAGAATTTCACACTTGTTGGAATCTTGGCTCATTTGTTGGTGGGATCTGAAATAGCACCTTTATAGAAAATGGTAAAATTCTTATTACAGCCTAATGAATAAAGTCCATATGATCCAACTGTAGCAGCTCCCCTTGCTGTCCCTAGGAAACCCATCCTGATGGTAATTAGAGGATCGAGAATGCTGCTTCATGGCTTACTTTTAAGATGTTTTGAAAGACAATATCTGCAGTAATAAAGTGCTCAAACATACTTGAAACGTGTTTTGTCTCCTGTCCTAATTATACCTATACATAAATAGTATTTGTTTCTCTGCACCGTAAAATTAAATATCTTTCTGAATACCCTTCTCCTACCTTGATGAGAAAGGAGAGACTCCCTTGATGAGGACAGCACTTCTGATGAGAAAACAGTGAAGAGGATTAACCATCCAAACACAGTAATACGAGAAGCATTGCTTCCTAATTTCCAAACATGGTCTCTGTGTGCAACATTCCGCTTCTCATTGCCTGTCTCAATCCCCTTTGTCTGGGGAAACTGCCCCTCACATTTGTGCTGTTTAGGGTCTCTGTAAATTTTAGCTCTCAAGGGAATCCCTTTGAACTTCTTCACAGAGGGTGCCTTGGTAGTTATCCTCACCAACAAGGATCAACGGGTCTTGACATCCAGAAACTGAATCATCCCACCTACCAGTCTCCTCTGTGCCCATGCTGCAGCACAACTGAGAGCAAAACACAGATGCAAAGTGCCAGCAGCGAGGAACATATTTTTCATTAGCAACACGTGGCCCATAGGCAAGTTGATTAAGGGCGATCATTTCTCTGCCACCCACTCGGTGTCCACGGGCTACCCTGGTAGCTCAGCTGGTAAAGAATCTGGCTGAATGCAGGAGAATCTGGTTCAATTCCTGGATTGGGATGATACACTGGAGAAGGGATAGGCTACCCCACTCCAGTACTCTTGGGCTTCCCTGGTGATTCAGCTGGTAAAGAATCTGCCTGCAGTGTGGGAGACCTGGGTTTGACCCCTGGGTTGGGAAGCTCCCCTGGAGAAGGGAACAGCTACCCACTCCAGTATTCTGGCCTGGAGAATCCCATGAACTGTATAGTCCACGTGGTCACAAAGAGTCCGACACAGCTGAGTGACTCTCACTTTCAGTGTCCGTGGTAGAGGGAGGTGGAAAAGCTGCCACGCTCAGAAGCAGCCTCCCTGTTTCTACTTCAGAGCCCACTTGGCACTGTTTGAAATGTCGCAGCATTTACCCTTAAAGACGCCCAGGAAGCAGTGTGACACACGTGTGCGGTTCTGTTGGCTATATCGCTTATGGCAGAGCAGGAGTGCACACTGCTGACCACAGAAGTGGTCAGAAGATGCTGACCACATCTCCAACTCCAGGCTGACTGTGTTGAAAGCCCCCTTTTGATGCCATGTGGTTGCACTGCTTTTTCTCTCTCATCCTTCTAAATTGGGGCCAAATATCT